GAAGCCCCCGCAGCCAGGCGGGGCCGCCGCCTCCTCCCGCCCGGGCCCGGGCCGCCAATGGCGCCGCGGCACAAAGGGGAGAGGGGCCGCGCGGGGACTCACCCGGTCGATGGTGCCGGGCAGCAGGCGGTCGAGCAGGCGACACAGCACCACGCCGTCCTTGAGCGACGCCTGCAGAAAGCCCTCGGGGTCCGCGATGCTCTTCTTGGGCGACTCCAGCACGCCCAGGGTGATGAGCCACGTTACGGTCTGCTCGGCCGAGCTCATGGCTGCGGCCGCCCCGCGCCCTTCACATAGGAGCGGCGCGGGCTGCAGGAGCCGCCTTCCCCTGCTCCTGCTCCTGCTCCTGCTCCTGTCCCTGCCCTTCCCCTTCCCCTTCCCCGCGCGGATGTAGCGGGCGACGCCCCGCGCGGCAGCGCCGGGAGCTCCCGCTCTGCTCGGCTCGGCCCGGCCCGGCCCCCACGTGACGCCGCTGGCGGCTGCGGTCCCCTCGCGTCCGCGGCCCGGGCGTAGGGAGCCCGCGGGCCAGGGAGGGCTGCGCCGCGCGTGTCACACGCGTGCCCTTCGCATGTCGCCGGGCGGCGCGCGAACAAAGAGCGGGCGGGATCTCCCTCTCTCTCACACACACACGCACACGCACAGGGGATACTCGGGCAGGCACCATCTGGAAGAGCATTTAAATCTCCTCCCCCTGCAGCCCCGCTGGGGGCCCAGATGCGGTCTCCGCTCGGGTCTGCACAGCCTCTTGTGCCCCAAAGGGTGGGGTCAGCGTCTGCTCAGGTGACTTGGAGATGTGCTCCCTCTGCCTCGAGGGATACCGTTACTCAAGTTCGTCTATGGAGGCGTCCATCTTCCTTGCCTTATGTCAGCAGACCCTCTCCTCACCCCTCAGCAACCCAGGAATCCCTTGAATTCAATATGCAGCCAGGCAAATTGTGCGGCAGTCTTTCCAGACTAGATTTGCTCCACCTTGAGTTTGCCCTGTGTCAAGTACAGGTTTCCCTCACTTTATGCTACACCTGCGTTCCTGGAAAACAGCGCATAACTCCAAGTTGCATAAAGGGAGCCCGCTTTACAATGTAACAAATAGGGATACTTCTAAGACCTCAACTGTACTGACCCCCAGACCCATTTCTACCATTTTTACAGGACAATGTGGGTACTCTCCAACAGCAGACAGTACACACAAGCACAGGGCACTATCATAATGGGGATAGCAACTACAGAAACACATCGCAGACAACCAGTGAGGAGCACAAATCCACTCAGGAGACTATTTTGGTGCGCGTCGCTCCCACAATGCACCGCACAAAGGAGCTGACTGCAGGCTTCCACCACACTAATCGCCTAAGAGTGAATTTACGTCGTATATAACGAATTTTTGGTATTAAAAGGGTCATTGCATAAGAGCGAATTCACCCATACAGAACTCGCATAAGATGAGGGAAACCTGTAGCGCAGCTCTAAAAGGAGAACAGACAGGTTTGCGCTATGTGCCCTCTCGTGGAGGGTTGGTTAGTGCCACTTGGTCGCAGTCTGCAAACTCACTTGACAAACCAAAACAGAGGTACATCGTGTATGTCTGGGGCAGCATCATGTGTGTTTGGCATGTCTGGGACAGCGATACTCAACCCCGGGAAGGCCTCAAGAGTCTTTCAAGGGTGTCCTGGTCTGACAGGCTATGTTGGCACAGTTAGGTGTGCAAAGATTGTAAGATAAACCCAGAGATTTCAAATAGTGCTGAAGCCATTTCGCCCTGTTATGGGCTGAGTTCTATGCAACAAAACAAAACAATTGCTTCATTATTTTTCTGTAGCCAAACCAGGAGCAAAAGCTAATAGTCTGCATTTTCTGAAGCATTTCCTTGAGTCAATCTAAGGGTGCCTTGCACCTAAGGAAGTTGAGAACCACTGGTCTAGTGCAAGTACTTTAGGACGGCTGTGTTTGAGAGCCATTAGCATTGTCCATAAAGCCAGGCAGACCCTAGAAGGAAGAGAAATAGCAGAAATGAAGGACATCCCCCAGAAAACTGCAGTAGCCTTAAAACTCAAAAGTTGGCCACAGCAAGTAAAGACGGTGCTGCAAAGGGCTGCTGGAAGCCTTTGGGAACTTCATATTAAAATGCTCTCGTCAAACCAAGAGAGAATTGTGATGGCTTCTCCACTTTTAATAAACCTGACACACTCTACATACTGCCAAGTCATCCCTGACAGTGATGACATCCCTGGGCTACATGAAAATATTCCTGAAGAACACATGTTTTCCCTCTTAGGAACATACTAAACCGCAGTTGATTTTAAAAATCCCAGGGTGAAGATACCTCCTGAATTCCCCTACAAAGCTACACATCTATTTCAAATTACAGAAGCTGAACAGAGGGCACTGAATGACCATATTATATTAGATTCATTTTAATTCAGAATTTTTTTGCTTATAGTTAGAGTGTTCTTCTTTAAAAAGGAGAAAATGTGAATGGATTCATCAGCCTTTTTATGTCCTTTCTGCAAGCAAGCTCATCACAAAAAATACAGCTCAATGGAAAGCTGAAAGGGATTATTTTTTTACAGGATCGCCTTCTAGAAACATTGGCAGCACATTCCTGGCCCAACTGATCCCATTTGCACATTTTTCTCATTTGCTTACAGTTTATACGAGCAATGAAGCCAATTACTAACACTATGTATGGTGGCTAAAGTGCTGGCTTTTCTTCCTGTGTTCACTTCCAGTCATCATGTCTGCAGTCTGCCATATGTTTCACTGGTTTATTTTCTGTGACTTTCCACAATGATGGTTTATGGTAGCAGCTGAGAGCCCAACATAAATACTTAGAAATATTTTGAACATTAACCTGCCAAAAATTATTTGTGCCTTTTTTCCTCATATAAGTAAAATTATCCCTGTGCTGAAAGCCTTGCCTAGACTAGACTACATATGAGGACAGTAAACTAGGATTAATATTTTTCAGTGTTAAAACATCCACCCCGAGGTGCAAAGTAGAGTTAAAACTGTGTTAACTAATATATTTTCAAACAAAATCTACCTTTCTGATTTACATAAGGCTTCTGGCATTCCAGGATTCAGCCCGTTGTTAACAGCCTGTCCAATTTTGCTGTATGCTACTGCCAAATCAGCTTCTTATGTATATAGGAACTGTTATTCAGGATCTGACCAATGATGCATCTAATTCAGTATCCCGTCTCTGCGCACGGCTGACACCAGATGCTTCTGAGGAAGATGCAGGTGCCCTTGCGATAGGCAGACATGAGATGATCTGACTCATGACATTATGTCTTTAAATCCCTACTAGTTACAGATTCTCTTAAACCCTGGAGGATGAGGTTGAATATCGCTTTTTTATGTTAGCATTACCTTTTGTAGCTTTTGCTTTTCTCCTTCAGTGTTACTATATGGCACACCACTGTACCGAATGACTAGAGGACCACTCAGCATGGCTAACAGCATAAAATACCGCACTGGAAAACCTCTAAGCAAACTTGCTTCCATCATAGGAACCCATAAAAAAAGTTTTCAACCATTTCCAGAGAGAAACTTTCAAAAGGGCCTAAGAAATGTAGGTACACAAATCCCTTTAACTTTCACCTTCTGCATGTGGACTTCAGAAAAGAAAGACAGGTTTGTGTGTAACCAAGCATACACACAAGCCAGCAAGAACAGCTACAGAAGCAACTTCCCCAGGGATCCAAGGGCCTTTAGACACTAATGATGCCATCAGGCTGTTTTCTGCAGTGAATGTTTTCTGCCCTTTACCAATTGGCTGCTGGCTTCAACTTCCCCCTCCCGCACAGTCTTCTCAGCCTGGTTCCAGCTGCCCTTCATGCCCTTCTCTCCTGCTCTCCGACACCTCCCATTCTTACCTCCACTCTTCCTTTTGCTGCCTGTTGTTCATTTTCACTAATCACT